TGTTAAACTAAGTCATCGGTTATGGCTCGTTCCTGTCAATGACACAAGCTTAGATTTCCTGTGATTTGTTTGGCACTTAAGCAGCAAAGGAAAAAGAGACACAAGCTGAGAGTCTAGGGGAGGCTGGGAAAACAGTGGATTTTGGAAGTGCTGAACAGGAGGTAAGGGAAAAAAAAAAAGGCCTATTGGAAATATATAGAGAAAAAAGATCATGGTTAGTTTTCTCTGCCAAAATGAAACATGTACTTTTACAAGAAATACATCCAGGTGTGACACAGAGTGATGTACAACCCTGCTAGAGTGAACACACAGATAGTTCTGTCTTCCTTTAGATCAGTCAACACGACAGTGTTTCTTCACTAAAACTCTATGGTGGCACAGTAGCTCAGATTAGTTATCTTCTTACAAGAGCATATCCTTCTTTGTACAATGAGAACACATTTCGCAGCACCACGTCTATATAGCAGCTATTATTCTGGCATTTCATGGCATTGGAGTGCTTGTATTTGCAACCTTACCATTTGGAAAGGGGGAGAGGGATATTTGGAATGAAACTGATATAGGTTGGGTCACTTGGAGCTTCTTTCTACCACACAGTAGAACTATAAATCCATTTAAGAACCCTAAGTCAGAGTCCTCATATGATCAGGGCTAAGAAACAATTACATTGCTCTCTTATACAACCTAGGAGCTTTGGTCATTGTACCCACTAACCACCTGAGTGTCATACCTAGTTCTCCAGGGCCTCGAAATTAAAGGTGAATAATTTCATGGGCTTAAAGAAGTCTACTTATTTTTCTGTTTCATATTTTTATGCTTATTTAGAGTAAAATTTTCTTTGCCTGAAAAAGCAATTAGGAGTTATATGCAAAATTAAATAAAACTGTGAATGATCCAATGACCCATATGAAGAGAGTTATGCTAATGTTCAAGGGGTCTAATTTCAAACAATGCTGGAGAATACTTTTTCCATACTCATTTAGATACAAATAGCCTACCCTGGAGCCTGAACCGGCAGCCTACAAACCAATCTAACTTTGCACATGTGACTTGGAGAGGCTTGAAACGTAGCCTTTAAACAGAACTGCTGCTGTAATGCTAATTACAGAGTAATGTTCCTCTGTAATTTTGCTAGTGGGGTACTTAACAATTATAAATCTTAAGATATGTCTCGAGTAGTTTGATGAATAATTTCAGCTAGCCAAAGAGAAAAGTCTCTACAGAAGCTATATGGAAATTTGAAACACATTGATTATTTCACTAAGATTGAATTTGCTGCCAATCACTTTTTCAAACACTAGCTAAAGTTCTGGAAACTATGCCAAGGAAGCCCTGGTAATGCAGGAAAGTCAACACCTTAGGCTAGAAATTGAAAAAATCCAGTTGTTTTAAATGTTTGCAGACATAGGTCTGGTACCAGCATCAAATGGTACCCCCATGAGGTGTCCATATTATCTGGTTCTAGCCTTCTCAGAGCCAGAAATGACATCTCAATACCTTTGCCAAAGTTTTACAGACCTACACAGAAAAACGTGTCACCAGTATAATTTCTTAAACTGAACCCAAAGGCAACTTCTACAGTAGAACTTTTTATATTCTGTACATGAAAACCAGAAGGTGACAGGCCAGGCTCATTGAGGCAGCATGATTCCAAGCTCTCAATTTCATTCAGATTGCTTGTAGGGCAGTAGTAGCAAGGCTAGATAGTTGTGTTTGCCTCAGGATAACTTCAGTTGAAAAAGATTTTCAAGAAGTATGTGAATGGGATTACATCAATCACTGAGACTATTACTCCTGCCTTGATTTCTTTTATTCATTTAACCCAACTTCTGCTATTAAAAAAGCTTGCCAGCTCCTGTTTAGCAGTTAGGCAGAACACCAGTTCTCTTCATTGGGTGTCTGTGTCTGCTGATGAGGTGAAAAAAAAAAAAAAAAAAAAATCGATTAATGAAAAAAAAGTGCTTACTCCAACATCTGCTCTTGGCTCCTTGTGATCAGGTAGGACACTGGTGCGAACCTGAGACAGGAAGAAAAAAAAAAAAGGCAAACAAAACATTACTTTTTGTTGTTACTTTCCAATAAGAATAAGGAAGCGCTCATGCATTTTTTTCCTCATACTTTCTACATTTTGGAGATAAATGTAAAGGGAGATATAGATGTTTACATAATTTAATAACAATTAATTAATAATTTAAGCACAATATCTTCTGGTTCCTGTGGAGAAAGTCTCTCACCACTAGCCATTTATCATTCTGAACTTCCCTGATTCTCTAAAGGGAGGAAGGCTGTGCCCAGTTGGTTCCTTTCCTAAGATTAGACTCTTTGGCTCTAACTGGAATGCCAGAATTTTCATCTAGAGTTGTTATCTGGCACCAAAACTTTCAACCACAAATGAAAGAACACAGTACATTTAAAAAGTATTTTCTCCAAATAAATACTTGCTTTTGCAGGCTGATCTGCAACAGGCATCCTGATCCCTAGTCGCACACAACGTATGGCCCTGTCTCCTACTACTGCTTCCCGAGCATCTTAGAGGTGACAGATATTCGCAAACATTCGTAGAAGGAAACCCCCTGTATTCTCCCTTACAGGGGACCTCCAGTTGTCCCTGCATTTTCTGCAGGGTAGAGCTGCCATTGTACACAACTACTTTCATTTCACAAGAAAAAGTATAGAACAACCTGACTTCCTCTTACTTCTGTATTTCCCAACATACAGTACAGGTTGAGGGAGGTGGGGCGGGGTGGATTGAGTGTCTGTATAATTTTATTGTCGAGTGTTGGTTGAGAGCAGAGAACTGATTAAACAGTAAAAACGAGATAGAAAAAAGATAAGAAAACCTCTGTAACACCTCTCTAACATGGTCTGCCTGAGCCAAAACAGCCCATTGGATTAGCTTGCTGGTAAAAGGATGCCAGCTTTCGCAACACACAAGGGAGGCATGTACTGAGCATTCACATCTGTTCCATTACCTAGCCTAAATAACAGATACCCATTTACAGCATGGCCCCCCAAGGACAAAGTTTTGGCTTGATTTCAAAGTAAAATTCAAACTCATTTTGCAAATGTGTCAGCAAAAGACTCATTTTGCCCCATACCTTCAAATGTGTCCCTCATTTCTTTTATTGTAGCTGCAACTTACTATACAAAAAGAAAACCCTCCTTTAAAACAAAGATAATTTTACTTGCTTGTTTTTAATATGATGTTAGAAAGGGCCAAGCAAAAATCTACCACGGAGACATAACAAAGTAGAACCATAGCTTTTCCCACTCAGCTCTTATCCCTTGATTCTGTAAAATGAGAACAATTTTTTTTTTTCCACAACAGCCTGAAGATAGTAAAGAAATCCTGTAATTAATTTAACGAGGGCCAGCACACTTTAGAGATCTGTGGGAGTCCTCATTTGGATGTAGTTTTACATTTGGATTTTTTCCACAAATATAACATCAGCAATGCTGAGGCATTTGGCTTTCTACAGAACACCAGTACAAAATTTTCAACACAAAATTCATATTTAAAATTTACCTGTAAATACTTCAAGTCACAAATGAAAATAAAATTACTGACATTTCCTTGTTGGCGATACCTGTCTTATCCTTTTGGGGTCTGGGGAAATTGGGGAAATACCTTACAGCAGATCTGTTTCTCAAAAGAAAGAAGGGGTATCAATGCCAGGCCAAAAATTCTATGACATTTTAAGATGCTAAAAAACTGTTCTACATGTTAGCCTCAAACAGGTAACATCTAGCCCAACATAGAAGCGAGGTTATTTCCATTTTCTAATTATTATGGATATTTATTCAAGAAACATGAACAAAGAAATTAAAATGAACCTTCCTCTTCCTCACTGATTTATAGGAAGAGGCATCTGTAACCCAGATGATGTTCAGCAAGTATTTTAAAACATGGGTAATTGTTTCTGCATGGTCCTAAGGTGTTCTTCAAAGCAAGAGGAAGCCCAAGTATCTTTCATGCTTACTGAAATCAATCGAATCAAACATACACTTAGAATCATCGAATATTCATTCCTTCATTTGCTGGATAAAGTCTTAGAGTTCAGGAGAATTTACTTGTGTTTTCCTGACCCAGCAGAGAAGTGGAAAGGGATGTCAAAACCTGACAAACCTACAGTATAAGCCTTCCATATAACAAAACCACATTTTGTAATTCCAAATAGAGTTAAGTAAGGAAAAAAAGTTCTGTTGCTTATTTGCAGTTCCAAGCTCAACTTCATTAGTGCCACAATGAAAGGAGTAGGAAAAGTATCCAGAAACTTCAGTTTTCAGTTCTAAAATACTTTTTGGTTCAGCTTCATGGTTTTTTGTTTGTTTGTTTTCATTTGGTTTTAACCACTTTACAACTGGTAGCCATAGAGCCAAATGTACATAAATACTGCATTTGGTGGGATTGGCATTAGCCAGTGCCTCCCTTCTCTCTCAACTAGATGTCTTTTGAAAGGAAACTGGACTTTCTGATCCAAGCATGCACAAATTATTTTTTTTTAGAAACAATTTTAAAATGTTCATTAAAAAGAGAAGTCGTATATGTGCATATATACTTATGTGGGAGCTATAGTCAGGTACCTTTCATGTTGTCTACTGGCTGAGCTCCCAAACACACTTAAACTCTCAGAATACTGCAGTTATCAGTCCCATTATGAGATGTCCACATAGGCCCAGGCAAGCATCATTACAAACACAAAGTCAGACAGTTTGCAACCAAATACAAAACATAAAAAACAATTCAGCTCTAATCCTAATCCACAAAATTAAAGAGAAAAAAAAGATAAATACAAAGGATTTGAAAGACCAAATATTCTCCCAGTACATTACTTGACTAAACAAACTGCTGTACTTTTTAAAATCTTGTCATAAACCAACTTTTCCCTAATGATCCCAAGACTATTCTAAAACAACTACAAAATATAAATACAAACAAAAAGGCAGATTTTAATCTCCTCAAGCATCCATTATTCTGTTTTCTCATTATTTGCTCCAGGTTTTCCTGAGCAAAATGCAAACCTCTGAATGGTGAGTTTATTCAGAATTGGGGTAAGACTGAACTTCCCTGAAATAACACCCATTACAGCCTTACCTTCCCAGACAAGAGAAGCACGAGGAGATCAAAAGAGTAAGCAAGACAGACAGCTTGTAACCTAGGTCAAATGCAAAATGTTAATGACAAGTATTCTTTGAGTAATTTAGTTTGTAAAATAATACAGCTATCTTGTATACACCACAGCTTGTCGTACCAGGAAGAACACTAGCACACTGGAGTGGATACTCACGATACATTTAGTTTTCTTTAAATCTCATATAGAACAATATGCAGTGAGTAACTATCCTTATACTTTCTAGTGCATTTATCACAGACATATCTAGGTGTCAAATTTCCTTAGGCATAAATGCTAAATTCAGCTTTAATTAACTGTCCTTTAGTACAAGGTAGCTTTATGTGATTAAAAAGAACATTTCTTTCAGTCATTCATGGCAGTCGAAGTCACATCCACACACACTGTCCAAGTTCAGATGACTGAATCATTATCATTACTAAAACTTTTGTGCTTGCCCTTAATTAAAGCCTTTGCATTTCGGTTTATGATCAAAGGCCATGTTTGGAAGGCACTTATGTTTTGCAAATAAATAATTCCAGATCCTTTTCTCAGTTATTCTAGATTTATCTCATCAAGTCACCGGTGGCTTCCAATGATTTCCCAGTACTTGTTGCTGTCGGCAATATCAACGTCAGTGACCACTGTTACATGCTCCTGGCATCTCACAATAACTAGGTACACACCACACAAGGCGAAGCATAGGATAAGAGAGACTACTGAAAGGAATTACTGAAAAATTGACTCTCACACTTTCAACACAGCACCTTCCAGGAAGGCATTCACAATTTCATTCCCTCTGTATAAGTCTGGCAGCGGTATAAGAACATGAGTGTGGACAATTCTACCTTTACATTACCTGGAGATGCTCTGGGACAGCGACCATCTGCACCTTTCTTTCCCCCACAGGCCCTTTTGCACCAAAAGCAAGCACTGAGCTCTGCTGACACAACCACCACAACTCCACGGGCAGCTGCTATGGACAGTCTGTCCCCGTCCTCACCACCACCACCACCTGCCCGCCAGCCATGCAGCACCACCATGAGAGTCAGGGAGGAACAGCATTTCTTGTAAATTTTCAGACAATGAAGTTGTATCTTCATGAATATGTGCTAGATGAACTGAAAATGCTGAAATTGTTACTAGGTTCTGCAGTATCAATCAGCTTTTATAGGATAGATCCCATTCCAGTACACACAGCAAATTCATTTTTAAAAGAAGATATTGATGAGGCACTGTACATTTACCAGCTATTTATTTTCATCATATAGATTAACAATTTGCTAAATAGTTCAATCAACATAGCGTAGTCAGCAAAGTACAACGCTTGCGTCAATACTTTGTTGGATACCTGCTTATTGGATGGAGGACAATGCTAATACAGTCATTTTCCAAACTTTAGTGTGTAATTATTTCTAAGAGTCCATATAAACCAAAAAAGAAAATCTTTTCCCAATAGGCATGCATGTGGTATTGCAGGGTTTGCAGTTCCAACAGAAAAGTTGCTATGCAGAGACATTAACAAATGTTAAAATTAAATCAAAGATGAAAACAAGTAAAGGGAACATAAGCTGTATCAACTTTACTGCAATGCTTTTGCAGTGGTATTAATACATGTTTATTATATAACATATTAATAAAATATAAAATAAAAATTATAAAATATTT